TTAACTGAGGAGTACTAATTCATTACAAAATAGAAGGACCTCATCCTAACAGAGATCTAATCAGCTTTGAAATATGATATGAAGGGTCTGTTGAGATCCTGGTCCTTTGTCCCCGGGACAGTACACTGCAGGTTTTGGGCGGGTATATTCTGCTTCTAATTTGTGATACGATCTTTTATGCGCGTTCGAAGCATAGATAGCAAAAATTAATCTTTTTAGCTAACCGATCAGCCTTGTTGGAAAAATTCGCGAGGAGGAGGCTCGATACACAGGCTAGTTTAGACTGTCTAGCCTGTACCAGGCGCTCAGACATTATGGCCTGAGAAAAGAGCCCACATTTCCCGACGCCACCATGTACCACTGGTTTCGTCGTAATTTCGCGGGGAAACAAGTGATGGGTTCGCGAAGTGATCCAAAGATGATCTCTGCGACAAAATAGGAGTAGCAGCACATTCGTAATCTTTCGCAGTTCTCTCGGTCGGCTGTTTTCTCATGCTAGATAGGGAGTGGCGAGAACTAAAGAAAGCGATCAGAAACATTTTTTCGCTCCCTTTTCATTTTACACTTGGGGTTGCTCCCTGGTCCTCCCTACTACATGTACATGAACTCCAAGCCTGTGCACAGCCACCCCCCTCCCCTCAGAAAAAACCGGGGAAGGGGCGTCTGTAATTGTTTTTTTTTTTCCGAAGTGCCTGGATCTGAATAACTTCATGTGTGTACGGTAGTTTTCTACGAGATCTACAGTAACAGCCAATGAAATCATTTTCCAAACATTCCGGGAAAAATCACGTTGTTTTCCGTACACGATTAGTAACGGTCAATCATAGATGCCCCTTGTCCCATTTTTTTTCTAAGTAGAGGGGGCGGCTTTACACAGACTAATGAACCCTTGGAACAGGTACGTGCCGCCCCGCCCCAAAAAGGTGTGGTTTTTACACTGTTTTAGTCTGAAAGACTGATTTTGGTATGGAATCGGGTATGGTTTTCGAAGGAACGACGGGAGTAAATAATAAATTGACTTTTAAACTGCAAAGGACTGCAAACGAATTTGCCGCAGAACGCGAAAATATAGACTGCCGAAAGTTAACTTTGCAAGAAATCAACAGGACGCCAATAGAAACTAAAACAGAGCGGGGTTGTAGCCGTAGACAGCTGTTTCGCCATTTTTTGTGGCTTGTCAGTACCGCAAACTACGGGAGTGTATGAATGCATTTGTCATTACAACTCCAAACGAAAAAGAAAGAAAGAGTGATATGCGAATTCGAAATGGATTTTGATAAGAAACGTTTGTGTTGGTGTTCGAATATGACTAATGATGACATAATTTCTGCCTCTGCCAGGTCTAAAAGCGGGTGTGGAAAATGACATTTTTTCAGTCTGAAATATTGTCAAAATTTGGAGACCCGTGCTGCACACCCCCACTAAGGATCCCCAGGAGTAAGCCCCCCCCCCCTCCCGGGAACAGGCTATTCGCAGGTCTTTGCTTTTATGGACATATTGTGCGTTTTAATAAAGAAAAAATTGAATACATTGCAGATTGAGTGTGCATTCTTGGGGAAGGGGGAAGGGCATGATCACTGTCAACAACGACAACAACATAAGCTTTATGCACCTATCAATGTAAACCCCGTGGGGGGGGGGGGGG